CGGTGCTGTTCTACCGGCTAAATGTTTTGTTAATACGTTTCTAATACTGATTTAAAATGGTAGCAATGCTTACATCGAGCATATCCAGCAGACAGTTTGCCATGTTGAAGCTTTCCCGGATTCGCCCCGCTAAGCCCAAAGCTTCAAGCCAGTACAGCAGACGATCGGTCAGAAAGTGGTGAACCCGATCACCATCTCGTATCTGCCGTCTGCTCTCCTTCCAGTGATGGACCCAGTATCGACAGGCATACTGGACCTCGGGTGGCAGGCGGTTATCGATGATCCCCGGCTCAATCTCGGACCGGAGCGTGCCAGGATGATGTAGATCGCAAACGTCCTTCCTAAGGGTGTCGCCGGTTGACAGCAATTCGAGGCAGCGGTCTGCTAGCCGCTTATGAATATCTTGCTTGTCGATCCAGAAGGAGTGGGTGTCGTCGTCCACAAGAAAGTCATGAAAAGAAAGATGAAGAGGCTTGACCGGAGTGGCTGGGTCCTTCGAAATGTTGAGCACAGAATGCAAACGAACCAGTTTCAAGCCCACATACTTTTGGGATTTGCCAAGGAGTCGTGCCAGCGATGTGGTAGAGAGAGGATCAGCGAGGAGCACAATAGCGCCAACAAGTTCGCGGAACCACTCAAGTATGGCAGCTTCGTCACCCTTTGTATCTGCATCCTTAAGGAGCTGGTCCAGAATCGGGAGGTATGTTTGGTGGAGCTGAGACCGCCCGCCTTTTTTTCTGTATTTAAGGAGCTTGTCCAGCTGATTTTCTGGATCCCCGTGCCTGTCATCACCAATGAAACGACATGCGGTGGACGCGAAAATGAAAAGCGGCACAGCCATATTGACAAGGCTTTGCAGGTCGGTAAATGAAGGCCAGTCTGTCGATATCGTCGAGCCGACTACCGTTTTGTTGAACTTCTCCCGAATTTTACCAAGCTCTGAGCGTAGAAATGTTGAAATGTCCTTTTCGATATCGGGCTTAGGAACTTCGTGGAGGGCCAGGTTTTGGTAGCTGCCACCAATGTCTTCGAAGCCAAGGCGAATGGGCAGCTCGGGCCTGCTGGTGACGAAGAATCGGAGGCGGATGGATGTCGCCTCCTTAGCTCTGGAGAAAAGGCGGATAAGGGCAATGGCGTCCTCTTCTCGATCGCATTCGTCAAGCGCATCCACCACCACAGCAAGCAGCGGGGAGCTGGCAACCTTGCACTTGTTCAGTGGCTCGAGGAAGAGCCTTTCGAATTGCTCTTTCTTGTTTTTGTCGACGATGGCTGGATCGTTCTCGATTACACTTTGGACATGTGATTCCAAGACCGGCACCTGGTGGACGAGCTGGGCGAGTATGGTGGTAAAGAACATGGCGGCGCTGCCGCGGTCGCCCTCGCCTTTTTTGAAGAAGAAGCTCGCACTAGGCACCTTTGCCGCAGAAAGCTCTTTAGCCACCGTTCGAGAGATGGTTGACTTGCCGGTGCCGGCCATGCCACGCAGCCAGAAAATGCATTTTGCGTTGGGATCCTCGATCCATTTGTGAATGTCGGCGAGAAGGTCCACACGGGTATCGGGGTGGCAGTTAGGGTCGTGTTCGTTCGCCTGGGCATCGAATGCAGCGCCTTTCGCGACAGGGAGCTTTGAAATGTCGATTTTGCGGTTGATGTCGGCGGTGAGCTTGCTATTGCGCGAG